TTCCAGCATAAACTTTCATGGATTTTTTTTGTGGTGCCCCTTGTAGACCAACACATGACCTACAATATGATGGTGGTTTTATTTCGTTTCAGTGTAAAAATCATATAAATTCATGAGGATCCATTTAGATCCGACTTTTACCCAGACCCGCAAAAATGTATTACTTGGATGGGGGGTTGAGGTCACGATTATTTCAGACGTGAGCAACTAACCCTACCCTTTAAGGGGGGAGCGGGCGTTTCATAGTCTCCTGTATTTCTACTTTCTCTTGCCACTCATTTGAGGGATTGTACTTGGGAACCTTAAAAGAGCTGTGCGCGAAGCGCAACATTTATCTCTATGGTCCCAACGAAGGTAGGAAGGAGCGGAAGTTGATAAATCTTTCTTTTCCGGGGTAACGTAATAGGCGCGTGCGCATTAGAAGTATCACAAGTTATGTTTTTTGTTTTGTTTTTGATCGGTTGTCGCAACGTTAACCGGGGGGAGGACTCCACCTAGGCCGTTGCCATGGCAATGCAAGTGGCGAAACGCGCGAATGTAAGTGCGTGCCACCTCCCTGCTCCCCTGGGCCGGGACAGCCATTTTTTATGGGCTCCTGCTCCCTCTTTCCTTTTCCCTAGTGTCTTAGGGTCCTGGAAGCCAGCTTTATTACGGAGGGGTGGACCGGACATGAAATTGATCTGATGGGGGATAGTTGGCACTGGAGGCTCGTTGTTTGTGGGTCTCCAATCGAATTGCCACCTGTACATGTGTATAAGCGAAGCGTCAGGGGGGCTTCGCTGCCCTTGTTGTGGGAACTGAGCCCAGTTATAGTTGACATCTGATGCTTGAGCTTTTAATTTGATCGTACTTTGCCATGGAGGCTTGCTGGATGACCTTGGGCCAGTCATGTACTCCCAGCCTAATCTACCTCGTAGGATGGTTGTGAGCACTGTTCCCTCTAAGCTGAGTTAGTGTGAGCAGGCTCACAGATTTTTAGCCTTCAGCTCACACATTTTTGCCTTAACTCAGGAAGGAGTGCTCCCGAGCAAACTAATTTATGCAGTAGCCAAATCGCTCGCTCACGGCTTTAATGCCAGGAGCTCACGAAGTAGAATTTTTGCTCACAAGACTCCACAGCTTAGAGGGAACATTGGTTGTGAGGATAGCCACTTTGGACCCCTTTCAGGTAGAATGACAGAAAAACAGTGGGGATTGAAAAGTTGGGAAGTGGTGGCTGTACTGGTAGTACAAAGGAAGCGGGTCAACTGACTTGGACACAAACACCAAGCAGGAGGGCCCCGGGTGCCAGTTAGTGAAGGGAAAGTGCTGGGGGATGCAGGCCGTGTTCCCGCCAATATGAACATCCATGGTCTTGCTCATGGATTTCCATCCCTCTGCCCACGGCTCTTCAACTTAAGCGCAGGGGTGTTTCCTCCTGGGTGGTCCGCCCTCCTGCTCAGCCAGGGCATATGGGTACTGGCAGACCCTACAAAGGGGAGGGCTTGTGCCAGCCAACCCTCCTTTCTACGGGTGGATTTTTAAGAGCCTCCAGAAAACTATTGGTTTACTAACCAATAAACTGAACAGGTCACCATAAACATTAGTTGCTTTAAATAAGCTGTTTAGTAAAACTCATCTGCATTTCATTAATGTTTGAACAGTGCATGATTTATCAATTTCCCTTTGATTTAGCCAGATGCAACGGACCGGATCCAAAGTGCTGGAAGGAGAGCTCTGCTTAAAGAACAGGGGCCCCCCCCCATCTTTTACAGCCCCTTGCACCACACAAATAGCTGCTCCTGAAGATCACCGGACTTTGGGAACAGCATGGGGTACAATGAGAAAGTGCTCCAATTTGAATAGGCAATTCAAATTGTGGCCATCATGCAAGAAATTGTGGCTACCATGCAAGACAAGGGCGCTTTTTGCTCATGCAGCCATCAGCTCACAATGATAATACAAGATCAACCCATTGTTTCTATGGTTATGCCATTGTTTTACAGTTATTATGACAAAAAGATAAACTTTCATGTACATTACGACAATAGGAGTGGAATGTTCACCTCTAACAAATAATAGGGAATGTGACTCTATGGGGGCATAAGGAAGAAACCCTAGGGGTTGGGAGAGGCAGTCCCCTGTGGCAAGCCACTGCTGCCTTGCCCATAACTTTCCAGTGCAAGATCAGAGAATGGGACAGTCAGCAATGATGCCTAATGCTTTTGCTTGGCTTCGCTAATAAGATATACAAGAAAGGGGACCGGCAAAAATCGCGGCGGGGGGGAGAAGCGGGGGAGCTCCATGCAGAGCACGCGGAGGAGGCCTCGCTGATTTCCCCCCTCCCTGCTCGCCACTCGCTGCTTCCCTCCCAAGCGGCGGCGGCTTTTTCTCCCCCCCCCGGCTCCGAAGGGA